GATAGATACCGTAAATCTGGCAGAAATTTGTTTTTTTTTCTGCCTACCTCCGGGAGCGAACCCAAACCACAGGGAGTTCGTCACCCGCTCGCCGCATAGTCAGGTTTAACCAACTGCGCTAGAGAGCCACGAATTGGGTGTTAAAAAGGGCTAGACTTATATTTTATAGACCGGTACTAAAGATGTAAAGTGGTAAACATCATGTCGACTACCTTTACTTCCCAGGATTTTATCTCGTACCCATTTATGGCTGGGTCGACCTGGGAAACAAGGTCATTTTTGAAAGAAGAAGAAGAAGAAGAAAGTGCCATTTAAAAGGACCCATACCCGCGACTTTCGGATCCGCAGGTGAGTTTTTAGTCGCTACATGGATCCCAATTTTCATTACTGCCTGCTAGAAACACTTAATTCTAATTGTTGCCGGTTAACAGGAAAACAGTTTTAACAGATGCTTGTTTCATACAAGAAACTAACTTTTTTTTAAAGTGACTTAGGCTCCTAGGTCGATCCAGCCTTGAGTGGGTACCAGGTACAGTCCTGGGAAGTAAAGGCGGTCAGCGTGATGCTGTCTACATCTCCCACTAAGTGTCGTTTTGGTCTATAAAATATGAGTCTAGCCCTATGTACCCAATACGCCTGAAAGGCGTGGAAAAGGGTCCGTTTTACTGCACAATGATCAGTAACACTTGTCAGTAACGCTAACAGTTGCCGTAAACAAACAAGTAACGTAAGTGTTATCATTTGTAGACATGCGACTTTAACTGTCCCAGTTGTTGATCAATAACCTTAACTGTTACATCTGCAGCCATGTAATTTTTTTTTTTGAACGGTTTCCGTTACACACCAATAATTTTAATTTGTGTTGGTTGCGAGACATGTAAGTTTGAATGTTGTCGCTTACAAACATAAAGCTTTAATCGTTGTCAGTTCAAGTGATATGGAATCTCTGAACCGATAATACTGCAACCCAGTGTCGGACACACTTTTGTTGTTGCTTTAAAGCCCCACCCAGGCTGTGACTGGCGAACCTCATTTAACACATCATATGAGTTGTACGGGGTTTCTGGGAACTGTCCCTAGATGTTCTTCGTCTGAATGGTGGCACTTTGTGTCACTGGGTGTTTGTCGCTCGGTGTGATGTCCTGGTGGGGTTAAACGTTAGTCCGTCCTTAAACTGATCTTTACGATGAGCCACCCCCAACAAACAGTTTACGCTAGTTGTGCCTGAGCCGCATGCTTACCGCGCCTATGATAGGAGGTAATATTGTAATCATTGGCTGCTCCGATGCAGAGGCGTCGTAAAGAGCGTGCGGGCCGCACCGGCATAACTACGTGTTCTCAACACAAAATAATGTTTCACCTGCCCGAGCAATGCGACTGGGGGTGGGGGGGGGGGGGGGGGAATGACAGGAAATTATCCACACGGGGCACGACCTGACCTTGAAATGACACTATGGATGACCAGAAATGTTTCGCACCGGACACGACCTGACCTTGAAATGACACTGTGGGTGACCGGAAATGTTTCGCACCGGGCACGACCTGATCTTGAAATGACACTGTGGGTGACCGGAAATGTTTCGCACCGGGCACGACCTGACCTTGAAATGACACTGGGTGACCGGAAATGTTTCGCACCGGGCACGACCTGACCTTGAAATGACACTGTGGGTGACCGGAAATGTTCTGCAGTGGGCACGACCAGACCTTGAAATGACACTATGGGTGACCGGAAATGTTCCGCAGTGGGCACGACCTGACCTTGAAATGACACTGGGGGTGGCAAGAAATTTTCCGCACGGGGGACACTTGACATGCTACGGGGGGGGGGGGGGGGGGGGATAACTGGAAATTTGCCGCATCAGTTTTTACCTGACCTTGCTTTTTGCTACGCCAGTACTTCACTGTAACAATTGTCTATGGCTGGAGAGCGTTTCTGGAATTTGCTGCTGTTATTTTCCGTCCCAATAGCGGCTGCTTCAGTCACTTATCTCAAACGTTCATTCTGCCACCCGGATGTGATAGTGAAGAAAATAATGTCTAAGTTGTCCTTAGTCAGGGCTGCCAATGGGATTTTTATCAGAACCCAAGCTAAGCCGAACAAAACACCCAAGTAATACAAAGAACCAAAAACAAAACAACACCCAAGATTGATAAAAAAAAATACAAACTTTACGGTTACGAAACGAAACATTTGCCAACTTTTATATAAGGATATACCTAGCTCGCTGGCGTAGTTGGTTAAACCTGACTTCGCGGTGACCGGGTGACAAACTCTTGTGGTCCCGGTTCACGCCCGGGGGTGGGCAGAAAAGCCACATCTCTCTCAGATTTACGGTATCTTTCATGGAATCAAGACGAAGGGTTGCGATATCCATAGTACCGAGCGAAGGGATCAACAACTCATGGTGTCTGGATATTTAAAAAAATATACAAGGATTTTTTTAAACCCAAGATTCCAAAATCTGAACCTAGGGCGTTATATAAACACCCCAGATTTTTGGGGAAACCCCGAGTGTTGGCAGCCCTGGTTCTAGTATTTGTTGTGGAACAGTGACATGTGACACTGCTAAGACTGTGTTGCTGCTAACTCACGGAGATTGTAAACAACATTTGCAATGTTTGCCGAGATTGTTAAAGTTACATAAACTTTTTTCGGATACGAAATGATAACGGGACTACATCATAGCAATGTTATTTAATTAAATTAAATGTTAAAAACACGGGAAAAGTTCAAGGAGCGTTACTAAGATCAAAATCAGGGTATCTATTATGTTGTTTTCATTTCAGTCATTTCTAAAAATTCCTTATTTGCCTTTCTTTTCCTAGTTTTACAAGTTTGCATTTGGCGACATTGTTTAAATACGGCTATCCTCCGAATAACGGTCACATATTATGGCGGCCCCAAAAAAAGAAAAACATACAGGGCCTCAGTCACATGTAAATTGCGGAATTCTGGCGACTTAAATTGCAGGCTTCCGGCGACTATAAAGCCACCGCCGAGAGTTATCTCCCGCCCCGCTAAACTAGATGGCTGAGACGAGCAGCAGCTTCTGCATCTCTGAGTCAGCCCTCTAGTTTAGTCCCGCTCCTTGCCGCGGGAGATACTCTCGGCGGTTGCGGTATAGTCACTGGAAGTCTGCAATTTAAGTCGCTGGAAGTTCGCAATTTACATTTACGGCTGTACCGAATAGTGATTTTCACTTTTTGGCCGAAGACAAATAGTGGGACCAACTATTCGGCCGAATACGAATAGTGTATCATCATCATCAGGTGCCTTGCCAACCGACGTGAGCGATTATGCCTCGCCACAGTCTGCGATCTGCTGCCGAATGTATTAGTTTGTGTGCTGACACTCCTCCATGACATGCAACAAAACTGTCAAGAATGTTCTCTCGTTGTCTTCCTCTGTCCCTCCTTCCACAGATCTTTCTAGTGGTCAACACATGTTCCATTTTCCCTCTTCTCATAACATAGCCAAAAAATGATGACTGTCTCCTTCTAAAGTCTGTGATTAGTTGTCTTTGGGCTCCCGCCTTTTTCAAAACCTATTAGTTGCTTTTTATTGGCTGTTCAAGGTATTTTAAGCATTGTTCTGTAAAACTTCATCTCTGAAGCCTAGAGCAATTGTTTGGCCTGCCTACCGATTGTCCAGGAGTTACAACCATATGTTAAAACTGGAAAAATAGGAGAAAAAATAGTAGCAAGCAAGAATTATTTTTCTAACCTTCAATAGCAAAGCTATATTGCATAAGATGTTCTTCATTTTATAAAATTCAGGTTTTGCCTGTCGCCTGTGCTCTTTTCGACAGTGGTGAGGAAAGTATCTCAAATATCTTTATGTCTTCTTTAATAATGTTACAATTTATAGCCGACTTTTCTGGCATACGCACCCAGTTTGAGAACCTTTGATGTAATGTCTCGGTCGAGTCAGCAGGCAAGACCTTGCCAGCTGCTGTACCACGCAACCGGGTCGCAGTTTTCCCGCTACTACAAACTTAGGCAACAGCAACTATTGTCTTAATGAGAGAATTATTTCAGTCCATCGCAGTGTATGCAGAAATGAGTGTAAGGTAACCACTATTCGTATTCGGCCCGACCGCAACTATTCGGCCGAATGCCGAAAAGTCATTCGGTCCACTATTGGGCCCCGAAGCGAATACGAAGCGAATATTTGGTACAGCCCTAATCTGATCATATACACATGAAAGACGGGGGAGGGGCTAGAGTTTTATTTCTGTGCGCATGTGTAAAAAAAATATAGTTAAAATAATAAATATTTTCCCACAACTTGAAGCCTATTGGATGCTAGCTGCTCTTTTGTTACAGACAGTTGCCACTTGGTGAATGATGTGGTAAATGTAAACTGAGGCAACCTTGACTCTCAAGAACATTTCCTAGTATCACTTGCGGCAACCTGAAAGAAAGCTCACTTTAAAAAATAAACTACTCTGAAAAGAATTTGACCTCAGACCACCAAGCCCACATACACATTTGGAAGTTACTATAATGATGTGTTGTTGCTTACAAGTGTGTGCATGCATTCACTTTGGATCTTCTTCTTCTCTCTACTCCTGGAATGTCTTGCGGCATCAGGGTAGAAAGAGGTCTCTGTTCGCTTAGTATAAAGTACTTTTCAGCGTCTCTGCATGCATACATACATGCACACAACAAACATGCATACATACATACACACATGCATACAGGCATGCATGGAGACACACATATGCACACACAGACAAGCACACACAGACAAGCCTACAGACACACACAGACTCACACACTGATACACACACACACACACACGCAGACATACATACAAACACACACACAGACAGACACATACATACAGCCACATAGACACACACGTAGATGCAAAGAGAGAGTAAGAGAGAGAATCATTTTTTTGCATCTCTGTTACAATGTTATACTTTTCTTATGTTTCAGATTTATATTTGGCCTTGCTGTTGTTTCCAAAAAGCATTGCATGATCTTCGAAGATGAGTGTTGTAGATGGTGTTGTAGAAGCCTTCCGAATTCTTCTTTTCCTTATCCTTGGCTACATCTCAGCATTGATTTCAGTTTTTTTCCCGCCTCCAAGGAAGTCCATTGAGGGAGAGACAGTTCTCATTACTGGAGCTGGTCATGGAATTGGGAGAGAATTTGCTCTGGAAATTGCAAAACTTGGTGCTACAGTAGTACTTTGGGACATTAACAAAGTAACATACTTTTTTCTTTCATTCGATTGAAAAAGATTGTACGTGTATGTAACTGGGTTTTATTTTCTGAATTTCAAAGTCTAGTTTAGTTTGCTCACTGGTCTATGGAGTTTAGTCTCCACTGTTGTTTCTCTAGTCCATTTTTAATCTCTCTCTCAGCTGTTCATTGTTTTTTTGTTTTTTTTTTTCCTATTATAATTTTGAGTCTCATACTTATTTTATAGTTATTTTCTGTGCCTGCCTCTCTACCTACCTGCCTGCATGCATAACTGTTTGCTTACCTGCTTGTCTCCTTACTGCTTGCCTGCATGCCTGCAGGCCTGCCTACTTGCCTGCACACCTGCCTACTTGCCTGGATGCCTGCCTGTCTGTCTGCCTGCCTGCTACCCTGCCTGTCTACCTGCCTACTTATCTGCCTGTCTGCCTGCCTACCTAACTACAAACATATTGGTGTTACCCAGAGCCAGATTTAGACTTGAGGAAACCCTTAGCTGTATAAGCCATGAGGCTCCTGCAGATTGTGAGGTCCTAAGCTGTAGTTTATTTAGCTTATGCCCCAGTCCAGCAATGATGTTACCTTTCCTTTGGAGTTAACAAGGCAAGCTGAGAGAGGGATCATGTTGCATAAGCATCACATGGTCACTACAGTACTATCCACTCTTTGTTCTATTATCATTTTGAGATCAGGAGGGTGGCATATTTATCTGTCCTTGCTCAGATGGCAGCCTTTACAGTACTCATAGACTGAAAACTGAGACCAGGATTAGGAAAGTACTCATCAGAGATGTACTTTTTGTAGATGATATTTCAGTTACAATACACTCAGAGAAAGAACTACAGTTAACTGTCGACCTTGGCTGATGCCTTTTGTGAATTTGGGCTAACAGTCAGCATTTAAAATAAAGATTATTGTTCAGGGTGCTGTTAACAATTGACTTCCTGCATCGATAACAACCAAGCATGTCATAGTAGGGTAACTAGTTAGGAGTGTTTTCTTTGAAGTTGGAGTGCATCTACCTGAGAGGTGAGGAACCAATAGTCTGCATACAAATGAGCCATAACTGGAAATCTTCTGAATGTTAAGTAAGTACTTTTGAAATGTTCTGAATGTTAAGTAAGTACTATTGAATTGATCAGAATGTTAAGCACATTCTTACAAAGAGTTTTTATTCATAATGGCCGGGCTGTTCAACTAAGTTTATTCAGAATCCACAATTTTAAAATCAGGATTGTTATGGGCCAGTGGCCTGAGCCCCATGTAATAAGAGCATTAATACAATTCACCTGGCAGTGATTTGCGAGCCACTCAATGGGCCGCCAGTTGAATAGCCCTGCCCCATATGGTCTCCCTCTCTCTCTCTCTCTCTCTCTCTCTCTCTCTCTCTCTCTCTCTCCCTCTCTCTTCCTCTCTTTCTCTCCCTCTCTCTCTCTCTTTCTCTGTTTCTTCCTCTGTCTGTCTGTCTGTCTCTCTCCAGAATATCTGGTTGCCTGCCAAAAGTGTCACATGGGATGACAGTCTTCAGGAATCTCCATAAAAATTACACTTGTGAATAACTGATCTTGATTTCTGCTGAATGCTCTTATACTTGATTTGTTTACTCCATTGAGTTGTCACCTAAAAAATACATTGATGTCACATATCCTGGATCATCAGGTTTTGAGGTTTTGAACAACGGATCAACATCATGGCACACAGGATGTAACCCATAAGTGCTCCGTTCTTCTTCTAACTCAAGTCTGAGTCCGAAGAAGCTCAGCACAGTGTACAGCAGCGAGGATCCTGAAATACTTTGGGTAGATCTTTAACTCAAATTTTGTCCGGGCAGCACTGTTAGGGTACTCTTTTTAATTTCCAACCACCAAGGGATTTTTTACGTGCGCAACAATGCACACGGGCGTCCGATCTCACTACCCAGAGACAGGGGGAATTACTAGAAGTCCAAGTCCACATGAAAAAATCCCACCTCTTACCGGGGATTGAACCCGGAACCTCTAGCTCTTGAAGTGGACACCATTCCTAAAGACCACAAAACCCCTTCCTGGATCATCAGTCAAAAACAAACTATCACTGGACCAGGATAGCAACATCAGGATAGGTTTAGGCAGAAATAGCAATGTGCAGATTAACATAAAGAGTTTTGGAGAACAGAAAGCTAACGTTTGACACAAAAACGTTTGTTTATCAAGACTGTGTCCTCTGCATTAATCTCTATTTTAGTGAAGCTTGTAAACTTACTGGTACCTTGACAAAAATCTCGATAGCTTTCAAGAATAATGTCTATAAAGAATACTTGGTGCTTTTTTAATATCCTACCCCAAACAGGGGAAATCCACAGGTCACAGGACAGTCTTAATATTTCAGGTGGCTGGTAGATAGGATGCATGCAGTCGTAGGCTGCTTTTTCTCATGGGACGTAAGAAGGTTGGTGTTAGAGCCAGTTCTAGATGTTTTGGGGCCATAAAAAGCATCAGAAAACGGGAAACCCAGTCTTACCACCCTCTAAAATGTTGGACTGTTCTGTGATGTTATCTGGGGTAGGATATTAGGAAAGAACAGAATACTTGGCATAAAGTGGCAAGATAAGACTACAAGTACTGAGGTATTGGAAAGAGTAGGTGTCACAAACAGTTTTCTCAATGTTCAGTCTTCAAAGGCTTAGATGGCTAGGTCATATTTCGAGGGTGAACGATGATAGAGTTCTTAAAGACATCTTATGTGGTGAACTATTCACAGATGGATAGAAGATTTGGGTGCCAATCTCTGCTAGGTTTGTAAAGTTGGGGTTAAGCGGGACATAAATAATACAGGTAGTGAGGTCAGTTTATGAGAACATGATGCTTTTGATCAGGTAGCACAACGAGGGAAAATTATGAAGGCTTTCATGACAAAGAGGTAAACACTGTGCACACGAGGGAGTTGAATGGTTGTAGACCACGAGGCAGACCAAGAAGACAATGGAGAAATAATATCCAGGCAGACCTACAAACACTTGCTGTCACCAACTGGAAAAAGAATGCCAGCCAGAGAGATGAATGGAGGCAGGTGATATCTGCAGCAGTCAACCTCAAAGGCTCAGAATTTTGAAGAAGAAGAAGATTGGGACAACAGAGAAAGGGATTGCTGGCAGATTAAGAGCAGAGCCTCTAATAAGAAACATGCAAAATGCAAATGATGCCAACCATTGATTGATCCTTCCTCAGATATCTGCTGAGCATTAAAAAATGAGTACAAGGAAATGTATAGCGAAGTAAAAAATGTGAGTAACACATCATCTGTTGAGCATTAAAAAATGAGTACAAGGAAATGTATTGCGAAGTAAAGTGGGCCAGTGTGATGTTGAACACATCATCTGTTGAGCATTAAAAAATGAGTACAAGGAAATGTATTGCGAAGTAAAGTGGGCCGGTGTGAGTCTGTAAAAAATGAGTACAAGGAAATGTATTGTGAAGTAAAGTGGGCCGTGTGATGTTGAACACATTCTGTTGAGTATTGATTAGTCTGTAAACATATGAGTGTAGCATTCCCTATGTTGATCCTGGGGCTCCACTTTTGAGAACACAGAATAGATTCACTGCACCGCTATCAAGCGTGTCATAGGAGGCAACTAATTAAGGGTGTTTCCTTCAGAGTCGAAGTGTATCTGCAAGTGGCAAGGAATGAACAGTCTGCATTTCACTGGCACAGGGATGGAGCAAGTTTTGGGGGACCCAGTGGCAGTGAAGTTGAAACCTCGACCAAGCCTAAGAGTCTGCATACAAGAGAGCCAGATCTATAAAATTAGTATGCACTTAAAACTCAAGTTCTGGATGAAGATCAAAATCCAGGAGTGAACTAACAGCCAGATGTTTACACCAGAGTTTTCAGCCTGTGTATGCTAACAGATGAACAGTCTAGCATCATATACCTGATGTATGACTAGCCTGAAAAGCAGCCTTTACTTTTATGTTTTTCACACGAAGAAAATGTCTAAATCAATGGCCTCCAACCTTTTTCAGGTGGCACCTTACCCCCTCCACTTTTATCCTCCAACATAACAAAATATGGTTAAAAAAAGGACAAAACTTAAATGGAAAATATCCACATAAATCTAAATATCAAATAACAAAAGAAACCATCAAATTTTGTGTTCTTAACTATAATTAAATATATGTCATATTCATTTGATTTTCAATCAGGGATGCACAAACTGCTCATAAAAACATAAATGTCCTCACTGTTTATTTTATAAATAGTTTTACAAAATATTTTATATTTCATAAAAATTTAAAAAAAAAATTTTTAAAATGTAAAACATATTTATACATAGTTAATGGCTAAGACATATTGAGAGAATGTCAGATGACAGAGAAGTAAAAACTGTATACACAAGGGAACTGAATGGTCGTAGACCACGAGGCAGACCAAAAAAAAAAACGATGGAGAGATAATGTCCAGACAGACCTGCAAACACTTGGTGTCACCAACTGGAAAGAAAAGGCCATCCAGAGAGATGAGTGGGTGATTTCTGCAGCAATGAACATCAAGGGCTCGGAATGCTAAAGAAGAAGAAAACATATTTTAATGCTAGTGTAACTGATTAATATGGGAGACTAAGAACTAGGGAACCAGAACTCCACCCAGAGTCAGCTGGGAAGACAACATCAGACAGTCCCTGACTGACAGAGGACTGAAATGGAACAAAGCCAGAAAGAAAACTGCTGATAGAGATGTCTGGCGCTCTCTCTAGCAAACCTCTACACCCCAGGGTAGAAGACTGACTGAGTAAGTAAGTAAGTATAACTGATTAATACAGATAAGTACAGATGTGCTCAGTTTCAAAATTGCTTGGTGCTCCCGTTAAAACCTCCTCAAGCTGTCCCCCTGCCCACCACAAATTGGAGACCACTGGTCCCGATAAAACTGACAATATTACATCAGTTCCTTTAATTCCACAGGAAACTAATGAAAAAACCCTGTCAGACGTCAAGAAGGCTGGAGGAAAAGGATTCGCTTATGTATGTGACATCACAAATTCATCTCAAATCAAAGAAGTCGCTGACAGAGTTCGTTCAGATGTGGGAGAGGTCACCATCCTTGTCAATAATGCAGGAATATGTAATGCTGGGCCCCTGTTGGAACTGGCTGAAAAAGACATTAGAAAAACTTTTGAAGTCAACACTCTTTCACATTTCTGGGTATATCTTTGTTTTTGAAGAAATATGTTCTTCTTTTCTTTCTTCTTCTCCTTCTTCTTCTTCCTTTCCCTTCTTTTGCCTGTCTGTTTTTCCTATCCTTAAATCTTTCTCACCTTCTGTCTGTCAGTTACATTTCTAGATAAAAAAACTATTATTAATCGAATATTACTCTTCTGCTGCACTCCCTAATTATAACCTTTTAGGTTGAATCGGAATTGGGATCTGTTCTTCTTTAATTGGCATTTAAAATATGGTTCTTTGGTCATGTGGTGTCATACATTCAGGTCGCAGACAAGGAATCCAAAATTCAAATGAAAATCCTGCCATATTTTAAACACTTTCAGCAGTAATGTTCAAATATGAACATGATTTTTTATTTATTTTTTATTTTATTTTTTTTTGGTTCAAAGAGGGGGAGAAGAGTCAATGATATGTTAAATAATCTAATGTTATGTATGTCTGTTGCCCCCCCCCCCTTTTTTTTTTAAAGTTTTTGTCTGTCCCTCCTGCTGTCTGCCTTCTCTTCTAACTGTCTGTCCCTTTGGTTGTCTGTACATCTCTCTGTTTATCACTCATGTCTATACCTCCATAAACCTCCATATATCTATCTGTCTATCCCTTCCTCTATCTGATTATACTGCACCTTGTCTGTCAGCATATCCCTTCCAAAATTATTAACTCTTATACTCCACACTGTGTAGCGTTAGTCATAATGTATAATCATAGCCACTTGTTTTGTGTACAGTCAGTTGTTTCTAAGACATAAGGTCTTCCATGCCATTATGTCAGACTGTAGTACCTCCTGTCTAGGCTTTCTTTGTTTCCCTTTCCCTTAAAGCAGTGGCTCTCAACCTTTCTTATGCTGTGACCCTTTAGTACAGTTCCTCATGTTATGGCGACCCACAAACATACAATTATTTTTATTTCTACTTCATTACTTCAGTAAGTATATGTTTTCCAATGGTCTTAGGCGACCCCTGTGAAAGGGTCCTTCGACTCCAAAAAAGGGTCGCAACCCACAGGTTAAGAACCACTGCCTTGAAGGCTACATTATACAAGATTTCAGCCCATCCCTCCTTTCCCTTTAAAATTGTATTATACAAGATTCTGAATTCACTCTGTAACTTCCCCTCAAAGGTTCCATACATAATACAAGACTTCAGTTTCCCCGCTGTTTCCCCCTCAAAATTATATTATACAAGACTAAATTCTTGTCTGTCTTTCCCTACCCCTTTTCCCCTTTAAAATTGTATTATACAAGACCTAATTCCTGTCTGTCTTTCTCCTCATAGGCTGTATTATGCAAGCCTTCATATTTTTCCCCCTCTGTTCTCTTCAAAACTGCATCATGCAAGACTCTACATTCCCTTCTGTTTTTATCACAGTATTATACTGTTTTTACATACTTTATCTATTTTTGCCTGAAAATTATATTCAACAGTTCCCATGAAAAAAGCGGGGGGGGGGGGGGGGGGGGGGGGGGGGGGCTGGGGGGGTGAGCTAACATTTGGACATAATGTGTAAATACTTGTATGGCAGGTCAAGGTTACATACTTTAGGACATTTTCTCAGTCCACTTATGTAACAGATTGTTATACAATTTCTTTATGTAACACAATAACGGCTTGTAAATATGTTTCCATTGTTAATTTCTTTTCAGATGATAAAGGAATTTTTGCCACCTATGATAAAGAAAGGTCAGGGTCACATATTGAATGTGATATCTATGGCAGGCTTCAGCGGCTTCAGCAATTTAACTGACTATTGGTAGGAAGTTTGTGTGCCTAGTGCTGTCCTTGAGATAAGATATCTTCTTGACCTTTCGTGAGCTGTAGTTGCTAGATAGTGTAAGCATAAGTCGGCCATTCACAATTTTACAGTTAAAGTAAACAAATGAATGGCATTGTGGTCTTCATCAGTAACATCAATTTAAAAAAAAAAATTTTAATTTAAAAAAAAAAAATTGCAAAACAGGTACACATAAAAAAATTTATAAAGTTAAAAAAAAAAAAACTATTTGCGCCAATAACAAATCAGGCATATAATGTTCGACTCATATTTTTATAGACCATTTAGCGCTCTCTGCAGGATGTGGTCAGCATTCACACTGGCCACCTTTGCTTCCCAGGACATTACCTGGTTCCTGTTTTAGGCTAAATTGACAGAGATCAAGGTCAGTATTTCAAAAACATCAGAGTAAATGTAGATGTGAACCTTAGGGGCCAGCATGAGAGGGTCTAGCTGCTACACTATCGCAACTTCCTTTGCAGAGTTGTGGTCACTAGATAATGTCAGCCTTTGCATTTCCTGTTAAACAAATGATGGGTTTGTGGTGACATGCCTTCATCGGGTTGCAGATCCAACCCTAGCATTTTGGGAGGAAGGGGGGAGGGGGGGAGGAGGTTGTTTGTGATTTTACTAGTCAGTGTTAGGTTCATTAGTTTGCCATTGCTTTCTGAATGGTTGGCCCTTGATACCACTGTCAAAGCCAACACAAGGCAGTCTGCTGCCAAATCATCCACAGCTGGAATTGAACCTGGCACCTCGGAATTAGGCAGCACATTTGTGACGCCTGAGATACAGATGTGACTTTATCAGTGAACATCAGTTAACTCTTTCAGTTCCAAACAGTTTATAGTGTGTGATGGAATAATCCTTGTTAGTCCTAGCCAACTAATAATGTGGTGTGTGTGTGTTTTTTTTTTCCTGGAAGGCTATCAACAGTTAACAGATGCATGTCTGATGTGTCAGCCGAAATGTGAAAATATCGTGGCTATGCTGTAAACGGGCACAATGCAATTACGTGTTCGGATCAATGCAGAAGAAAATTTAAATTTTACATCTGGTCAAATCATATTCTGAAATCTTGCTGCCCAAGTGGCCACTCTGCTGTGTTCAGTCTCTGCCTACCCAACTGCCAATTACGGCCTTTGTTTTAACACCTTTTCGATGTAGGCAGGAGGGCCTTTGAGCCTGAGGATTTACTGACACATGGCTAGTAGCTGTTGTCTCTGCCTAGCATTCATATATTTTTCCTCACTTGGGGATTTGCTGCCAAATCTTCTGGTACCCAAAAAAATCTTTTTTTTTTTTTTTTTTTAAATAAGAGCACAACACAAGACTGAGAAGTAAATGATATTGAACAAATTATGTTGTTTAGTCTATGCTGTTAGAATGTTGAGCCCTTATGTTGGAGACCAGGGTAAAATTTGCGGTAAAGTGATGTGATTTTTTTTTAATAATGCTGGGGCAAAACTTTGAATCCTGACCTGCACAGTTCATGGCGACTGCACTAGCACTGCGGCCCTTAATCCTCTGACTCATGACCCCTAGGTCTTGCACCACCCTAAAAAGTGTTCGTAAATAAAGACAGACATGTTAAAGTTAGCAGAACCAACGCCAGCTGTTACCTGGTTTTACTAGGCAATTTAATATTCAGTAGTTTCCCATTGAAACAGACATGATACAACCCTAAACACATGGTAATTAGGATCGGTAAACATAGACAGTCATAGCCTGATAATTGTTGACTGTTATAACTATTTGTTTCAAGTTTTATCTGTTTTGTGTATTCATCTTATCAGCACATGAGATATGGAACTGTTCAGTGTCTCATATTGTAAGAGATGGGTCAGGTATGTTGTTTGTCTATCACAAGTGATGATGACCAGTCCTTTCCTCCAGTGGTGACTGGGTTCAGTTTTGTGAGTGCGTAGATGGTTGATAAGGCCAGTTCTAGCACTGAAAGTTCTTGAGCAATGTCGACAGGGAATAGAAGCCACATATCTCTCTGGTGATTTGCTTCCCCCTCCCCCCTCCCCCTGCCTTTCGGGAATCCTGTTTTTGTCATACCAGTATCCCATTTTTGACTCAGTTCTTTGTGTCTGTGGGGAAATGGTCAAGTCATTTGTCTCATGCTCTGAACTTTGTGGGTTAATCGTTTGGTTGGTTCATGAGTGCAGTTGTTACGGAGACCTCGGGGCATTGTTGCCGGATTTGTGATATTTGTGCTTTGTTCGAAACATTTGGTAGGTGGCGAGCCATTCTGTGGAGAGAGTCCAAGCCATATGTGATAGAACTTGGTACAATGAAGTCAGTCCTCTTGACTTTAGCCTTTGACTGAACCTAATTGTTTGCTTATATTTAATTAAGTTTGTCTTGAAATTTTCCCTAATTATGTTAAGTAAACCCATTTGAACATAAATTCTCTGCTAGCTTCCAATTTCAGATTTGTGTTTTACTTTTTAGTGCATCAAAACATGCTGCAAAAGGTTTTCATGAATCCCTAATTGAAGAGCTATATTTATATGGCCACCATAACATCAAAGTGACAGGCCTGTGTCCCATGTTTGTGGATACCGGCCTCATTAAAGATTTCAAAGTTGGGTAAGAATCTTTGTTGTTTGTCAAAAGAAAGACCAGTAGTAATCCAGTGTTATTCTTCTTTCTGTTTCCCTTTAGAAGGGCAGTTAGCAGATTTTATTATGGTTTATAGCTGTTGGATTATCTGCACCTTTTGGACCAATACGTCCAGTTTTAGCAGACTTTAAATAGTCATCTTTTGTAACGTATTCGTTTAGAGGCTATAGATCTCTTCTTTATTTTTGCTTCAAACATTTATAACCCAGACAGGAACAAAAAGATTCAAGGATTTTATTAGTGAACATTACAGATGAGATCAATGCAAGCCTGGAAAATTCTTGGGATTGTGAATCGCAGAAGGCAGACACTAGAGGAGGGATATGTTTTCGTGAGCTTTCTAACCTGCATTTTGTTTGTTTTTGCGTTCCAGTTTAGAAAACCAGCTCACAGAAGAATATATTTATCACGTTTGCACCTGCTAGGAAGTTTGAGCACTTTGTTAAAATTCTCCTTGAGAAGGTATTCTGATGATACATCTTATCCTTGTTTATGTAGTCTGGTAGTCTTAGTTTCAGCTTCATAGCAAATGGATCACCCCATCTTTGCTCCGCTCCTGTGCCAACGAAAAACACACAGAATGTTTATCACAGTCCCTTGTGGAAGGATTGACAGACTGCTGTCTCAGCATATGTAGCATTAAAGCATACGGTAGCCATCTGAAGTGCTAACACAAACAGTCCGACATTAGAAATGCAGTCCCCCGTGTGGGTTTCCCCATTGTAGGGGAAAACAAGAATAGACCCACTGCCTACCCAAAAGCATGTCGTAAGAGTCGACTAATTGGGGAGCTTCCTTTGAAGTCGGAGTGCATCTGCCGGAGAGGCAAGGAACCAACAGTCTGTATTCAAGAGAATGAGATCTGTAAAACTGATGCACACGCAACACTCAGGTTCTGGAGCAGGACTGCAGTTCAGTAGTGGACGAACAACCAGAACTTTCCGCCAGAGTGTACAGCTGGTGAACGTGAAGAAGAAGAAGAAGAAGAAATGCAGTTCATCATTGATGGTAGCAGAAGTCACCAACAGATCAGCAGTTGCCCATGCGATCAATTTTAATCACATAGGGGCACCACCAACATTGCGACGACAGGCATCGTGCCATTTTCTGCATCTACAATTGACACCACCACATTGGTCACAGATCCTGTAATCTCCCGCAAGAAATGAAAATCCTTCAGGAGCTTTGAAGCCTGTGTGCTTTCATAACCAGCCAGACAAAATGAGGGATAAACAGACAAATGGGGAAGCAGACAGAGAGGGGAAAAGATCGACAAATGTGTACATAACAAGTAGACCATGCTCTCCCACGTGAAAAACACCCATAATATTAACTGGAACAGAAATATCAAAATCATCATCATCAAATGCTTACCACTTGGGTGGGCGATCATATCTCTCCACAGTCTGAGATCTCCAACAGCATGTATCAGTTTGTGTTCTGGCACCCCCTCCCAGCAAAATTTTTTTTAATTTGGGGCACCAGTTGCCTCTTAACAATCTTATGGTTAAGATCTGATTAATTAAATTGGATGTGTTGGACTGAAAGATAATGCAGCCTAGCCGTAAACTAGAAAGCAACGTACCAACTGCAACTTTGAGGGTGACTACAAAAGAAAAGATACCTGGGCGTTCATCTTTCCCTTTTTCAGGAGCTTTCAGAACCTGATAATCTAATGGTACCTTTCTTCCAAGTCTTATATTGTCATGCAGTAAAACATTGTTAACATGAACTTGCTTAAAATGTGTGTTTATTAACAGTGTTCTGTTTTTTTTCCACAGTCGAAATGAAAGATTGCTGACACCAAATGAAACTGCATTGGCAGGAATTGATGGCATGCTGAGAAATTATGAACTGGTGACTGTTCCATCAAAAATGTATTATATGACCAAAATAGGAAGGTATGTTTGTGTCATTATATTACCAATCCTATGTTTCTGGGTCCCATTGGGGGAAAAAAAGGGGGGGGGGGGGGGGGGGGAAGAATAGAAACAAAAACTGAAACGGTTCATATACCTTGTGAGAATGAATCCAGCTGTGGTGTGACAGTAACACACAACATAGGAATGGAAATACCTAGAGGCAGAAGGAGACCTTGAAGAAGGGAGTCCCTGAAAGCCTGAGACGTCACAACATCACAGCATACCAACCTCACAACATACCAACATCACAGCATACCAACACCACAGCATACCAACACCACAGTATATCAACATCACAGCATATCAACACCACAACATACCAACACCACAGTATATCAACATCACAGCATATCAACACCACAACATTCAGCATACTAAAATCACAATATCACAGCATCCAACATCACAGCATAACAACATCACAGCATTCAACAGCACAGCATACCAACAGCATAGCATAGCAA